CTGCACTATGGTTATATAAGAGAATTTCTGTATTATTTTTTCTAATTTACACATAATATTTGTGCATCTTTGTGGTATATGTATAATAATTTGATACACATATATAGATGTATAATAATCAAATCAGGATAGTTAACATTTTATCTCGCCAAACACTTATTGTTTCCATGTGTTGGGAAACTTGGGGGCTCTGTAATTATAAAATAGGTCATAAATTGTTGTAGACTGCAGTTACCCTACTGTGCTATAGAACACCAGAGTTCATTCCTCTCACCCGAATGTATTCTAGGAACTGTTGTCTAACTTCTCTCCATCCTCTCCGCCCCCCTCACTCTTCTCAGTTCCCATTGGCCACTTTTCTACTCTCTTCTTCTATAATATTTTAGCTTGGTTGATTTTTTTTTTTAGCTCCCCAAAATGAGTGAAAACCTGCAGCATTTGTCTTTTTTCACCCAGCTTATTTCACTTAACACGAGGTCCTCCAGTTCCTTCCAGGTTGCCACACTCTTAAGAAATACACACAGAGAAAGAGAAACACAGGATAAAGCAAATAAGGTAAATTATTTTCAATAGACAAATCATACGAGTATCTTTGTACATCTCTTATTCTTGCAACTTTTCTTATGGTTGAAATTAAAATTTGGGGAAAAAACAGTTCAAAAAGTCATGTAAGTTTTTCATAGTGGCACCTCTTTCCCTTCTCAACAGAGAGGCAGTTTGGTGTTTCAATTACAAATGTAGCTTTGGGCATCAAAATAACCTCATTTTGAAGCCAAGCTCTTCATACCTCAGTTTCCTCATCTGTCAAAATGGTCATGATTATAATAAGAACATTTCCTTTTGTTCATGATAAATGAGTGAGTCCCACATGGAAGTTCTGGGAGGAGAAACAGAGCTGGGGTCAGCTGGGGTCAGCTCTCAGGAAGTGGGATTTTACCATGTTTTAAAGGAAAGAGCTCCACCATGGAGAGTAAGGTAAATTCAGAGCAGAGGCGATTCTAACAATGACAGATTGACTGCACATGATGGTGCACACCTGTAATCCCAGCAACTGAGCAGCCTGAGACAGGAGCATCGAAAGTGCGAGGCCATTCTTGTCAACCTAGCAAGACCCTATCTCAAAACAAAAAATACAAAAGGCTGGGATGTTGCTCAGTAGTAAAGCACCATGGATTCAATCCCCAAATCTATTTTTAAAAAGCCCAAAGGAGGTAAACTTTCCTAGAAGTTAGCAAGATTAATAAACTATCATAAATAAAATGGCATGACCTTATTCAAATTTAGACAGGTATAAAAAGTGTCACAGAATGCAAAGCCCACAAACAGTTCAAACTTCTGTTAATTGGATAGAATAGAGGAAACATCCCAAAGCAGGAGAGAAAGGACAGATTATTAAACAAGTGATATTAGGACAAAAATCAATCATGTACAAAAATCAATCTTAGATCTTTAAGCCATTTACAAAAATACATTTCAAATAAATGAAAGACCTAATCATAAAGAAAGCAATCATTTTAAGGTAAAAAAAATATGTTTTAAAATGTTTTTAGACAAGATAGAAAAGGTAAAGACACAAAAAAGAAAAGAACATTATCAGAGGACTATGACTCCATTTCTAATGTTCTGTTTCTTCCATGGTTGATTTAGCTACTTACCTTTAAATACATATGTCTTTTAAAACCCACAAAATTTTAATATTTATTAATTCAGGGTGTTGGCTTTATAAATGTTTGCTACATTAAGCTCTGTATTTTTTTTAAAAAAATTGTTTTAGAATATTAAACAAATTGTTTCAAAAACTCTAGCTACCCTGGGAGGAAAAAATAGTGTGCCTGAGTCCTCAAGCCCAGCTTACACCTGTAACCTTGGTATCTCAGGGTAACTGGATAGAGATTGCCCCCATGTACCCTCAAGCCTCCCAGGTACAGTTCACATCTACTTGAGTGACTTTGCAGTTCTTACTAGATACTCCACTAGGTATCTAGTAAGATTAAGGTAAAACCCAAATTTTTCTTAACTTGCTTTCAACAGACTTTTATTTTTTCTCTTTGTCAATATAAATTTATTTATTGGAAATTTGGAATACATAGATCATTATGAAAAATTTCAACACAGGGAAATTAAAATATGCCCCTTAATCTTACTTCCCAAAGAGAGTAAAGACTACTGATAAACCACATGCTGTGTTTTCTCTAGGTAAGCAAACCCGTAAAACTACACCCACATAACTCTAGCTCTGTGATTACCACTTTGTCGCTCTTCTCTGTTCATGTTGGTCTATAGAAAGTCATGTCTTTCATCTAATCACATTGGACACTGCAACATTAGAGGACTATTGATTTAGCCAGATTCCCACTGATGGCCAGTCATTTTTGGTTTTCACTATGGTTTCAGTCTACAACTACAGTCTACAAGTCCTAAATAACACCCAATAGAATATTTGGGGAACTTTTATCTTTTTCATTACAAAAAAAAAATTCTTCAAATGGAATTCCTAGGTAAAAGGTTGTGATCGGCTTCCTTTTTGCAACATATGGTCAAAATGCCTTCCGTAAAGACCAGCTCAAATTAGTCGCCTAATATCCAGTAGTGTCACCACATGCAAGGCATTGTGCTGAGTGCTTTGAATGTGGTAACGAATTTAATTCTCTCAACAGCCCTATAAGAGAATAGGTAGGATCATTATCCCCAATTTTCAGATGAGAAAACTGAGCAGAGAGAGGATGAAAAACTTGCCTGATTTCTCTGAAGCCTGTCATATAGCAAGCAGAGCAAGTCTTGAGACTTGGGAAGTTCAGAACTAGCCTGTACTCCTGACCACTATCTATGTCTACTCTGAAGGACCAGCAAGCAGAGATGCCTTGGACAAGACGTTCAAACCCCATCCCTGAAACACAAGTAACAGTGGTACCTTCACAGAGAGGTGTCATGGGGACCAGATGATAAAATATAAATTTAGCAGTGTACTAGGCACATCAGAAACACTAGAAAATCTTAGATGTTGTGCTATTATTTTTTTTTTAATTTGAGCATTTTAAAAGTTTATTGCCTGTAGTTCTTCAAGGAATTGCCTGTTTATAAAATTTGCATAGTTTTGAGTTTCTTAAATTCAAATTCCCTTCCTCCCCACACGACAGACTGGTTTGTCTATCTTCCTAGGTCAAAGAGCACTTAAAACTTCTGTTACCTTCTGTCACTTCACCGGAGCAGCCAGGCTCTGAGTCTGCTCCTCTGCACACCTTTAATTTCTGCTTTCTGGTTCCTGTCATCCTGCCGTTGCCGCTGTCAGGGACCTGATAGATGTCTGTCTGACATTCTAACTCCCAGAAGCCAATGTCTTTGTTATCCCTGCTTAGTTCAGGCTTCCGATGGAGTCCTCTGCCCTGGGAATAATTTTGTCCATGTCCAGGATGCATGCTACTGCCAGCAGATGGAAGTTTATATCTGGAGACAGCTTGCTTGCCTTTGAATGTTGTTCAATCCAAGTTCTGGGAAAGTTGATCTTTGTGCATGTCTGCTGCCTTTTAAAGAAAGGGGATTTTGCAAAGTAGCGTGTATCTCTGTGTCTCTGTTTATCTCCATCTATAAATATTTTGAACCATCTCACTGAAATGCTGTCTCCACATCTCTGTGTCTCTTCCTTTCTGTCTACTTCTTTGATTTTATCTCTCTCACTTTCTATCTCACCCTACTTTTCTGTTAGCCTCTGCCTCTCCCCCTTCTTCCTTCTTTCAATGCACTGCATTGCAGGTGATTTTTAAAGACAAAGATAGTTCTGAATAACAGGTCCACTCTACTGCCTAATAATGATAGGGAATAGACAGATGCTAGTGGTGGGAACATGAGGTGAAGGGAATAATTCTACAAAATGGACCCGCTGTGCTGAACCCCACATGCCTCCTTATCTAAGAAACAACTGACCAGCAGCCCTACCTAGCTTAAGTGGACAGGATATGTCACATTCCTCAGCAAACTACCTATTATCTGCAGAAGAAATGAAGATCCAAAATAATGTTGATAAAAAAATCCCAAGTAACCATATAGGCAGAGACTTTTGTGACCCTTTTCACAGACCAGATCCCAAGATTCGGAGAGATAAAGCTAATTCCTCCTAGTCATAAAATATGTAAGGATTTAGGATTAAGAATCCAGTTAAAACTGGTCAGCAGAACCTGGGCCAAAGTGACCTAGAGTTGCGATGGCAGTGGAGACTTGAAAGTCTGATGTCATCCTGCTGCTAGTCAAAAGCCAAGAGGTGAACCTGAGTGGAACTCTCGGGAGACTTCTCTGGGATTCCCAATAAAACTGGTGTGCAGAAGAGCACTGTCCCACTCACCATCTCCCTTGAGAGTATCCCCTTTTCTCCTTTCCCATCCCCTCTAATAAGTTCACTGCCTATGACTCTAAGCGACATGTCTGAAATATTTCTGACTTCATCTCAAGAACAGGGGTTTGAAGGGTGGCCTTTGTGCTACCTCCGTTTCCAAAAGGCCCAGACACAGGACCATAACACGGATTCCCCCGCCAACCTACAGCAGCGCCCCCCTCTGTATGTCTTCTCTTTCTATGAAATCATCTTGACTGGACCATTCAGATTTAACATGATTGTCTGACCATCCCGAAAAGTAAACATTATTATTTCCCATTTCATTAGTGCAGAGACGAGTAGTAGCAGAGTCTCAGAAGTCTCTTCTAGTTGGTCAGCAGTGGAGTCACAGTTGAAACTGATTTTTCTAGATCCCAAGCCTGAAGCTCCTTCTGCCACATGACCTTTCCTTCTCCCTTAGCCCAGGAACATTTGTAAGTCACAACTGAAACGAAATAACCCAGGGGACTGCTCCCTGCCGGGTCCGTCAGAAAACCCCTCTGTCCAGAAGGACACAGCCCTGTGTTAGGGATGGAGTCCTGATGGGCCGAGGGTCCCAGTTTCCTGTTCACTCGCCACCTGCCCCCCAGCCAGAGAAGAATAATATCTGCTCCCTTTAACGCTCTCCACTTACCCAGGAGGAAAAGGAAGGCTGTCAGCATGCTGACCCCCGAACTCATGCTGGCTCTTTGCTCCAGGCTCCTAGCAGGTCAGGCACAGTGAGCTGTGTGACCTGAGGCTCCAGGGGCAGGAGCCACGTCCCACGTGACTGACAAGGAAGGAAGCCACAGCCACAGCCGGGAGGCGGGTCAGTTCCTCTCAGCCTTCTCTGAAGGCAGTGGTTAGGGAAGCCCCTATCATCAGCCTCTGCCAAGCAGTGGAAGGGAGTGGGCATGTGATGGGAACTGCATTCGACAGTCTGCGGGGTCCTGCAGCCTCTGTGATCCACTGCCCACAGAGCAAGGGAACTGCACCGTGGTTGAGGGCAGTTTCTTGCCCAGAGACACAGGCCAGTCAGTCTCCGAGGAGAAGGTAGGCAAAGCTGGTCTGCCCTGGAGTCCAGCCCTTGAGGGTACCACCCCTGCCCCCAGTCCACCACTAAATGCTGGGATGGCCCAGCAGTGTTTGTGTGCCACGATCTCTCTGAATCTGGGGGGGGAGGGGGCAACTGCTCTCTTCTCAGAGTAACTGTTGTAGATGCCCAAACTAAAGTAAACTGGCATTCTGAAAGACGTCAGAAGCACTGAAATACAGTCATGAAAAAATATCCAGGGGTATGCTTCCACTGAACTAATCCTCAGCCCCCAACTTCTTAAAACTTTTTAGACATGTTCTCCCGAAATTACCAAGGTGAGCCTCAAACTTGTGATCCTCTTGCCTCAGCCTCCTGAGTCACTGGGATTGCAGGTGTGTGCTACCATGCCCAGCTGAAGACATTCTTAAAAAATAAACTTGTGATGTAGAGGTACATATGCTTCTTCATCCACATAGCAAATAGCAAGACCTAGTAGCCGATGAAATGACAGCCACCACCTCAATATAGTGATACATGTGAATATTTAGAGATAGCTGTAAAAGCTGGAATGTGGAGGAAAATACTCGTGATTCCTACTCTTAATAAAGTCACCCTTGTGGTCATGTCATTGAGCTGCAATCAGACCAGGCCCAGGGTCTCCAGATGCACCAAGTGATTCCATTCTTTTGTAAAACCACTCACTTTTCAATGTCTACAACTAATTTTCAAATGTTTTCTCCTGGGTGCGTGAACACAAACAGCATGAACTTATGCACACCCTTCAAAACTTCCTCTTCTAAGGGTTCAACCTGTTGTCTGTATAACCAGGAAAGGAAGAGCCTGCAGCAACTTCTGCTTTATAACCTGCCACAACCTTCTAAGTCCAGAAAATACATTTTGTTGCCTGCTTAAATGGAGCAGAGGGAATACAGAGACTTAAGATACCCGCTAAGGTAGACTCTCACAAGATGACCTGGTACCTGGCAGTCACATGTGAGAGTGATTTGTCTTCATGGTGTGGCATGATAATCCCAGCACCAATGGGTACCTACCGCATGCTTCTGTAAGGAATGCTGACTTCTGACCTTTAGGATGCCTCTGTCACAGGAATTGAAATGACTCCCACTGGATAGGGATCCTGAGGGCCAGGGCCAGAGCACCTTTACCAGAGCCTGACTCAATCCAGGTCCCAGAAGTATTTGTTAAATGAAGGAGTGTATTCACTTCCTGAGGTCATACCCACACCCAGCCAGCCCAGCCTGCTACCCACAGGCAGGAATGCCATGGGGCTGACCTGTGACTGAGGAGATCATCTGTACTGCCAATCAGCAGAGAACGAGCCCTGCTCCAGCAGCTCTGATACTCTGCTCTGCCAGCAGGACACTGTGCTCAGCTCTAGCACTGTCCTCTTGGGGAGTCCTCTCTCTTCCCTCAGCACCAAGCACAGAACCTCTGGATTGATACCTCATGTAGAAGCCATTAGTGCAAGGCAAGAGGAGCCATTAAACCACAACCATTACGGGAGATTAAATTAAAGAGAGAGAAGATTTGACACACAATTGATTTATTGTACTTACAAAAAACTCTGCACATAGCAATTAAAAATTAGCCATTCTTCTGAAGCATGCATGCAACACTTACTCCCCATCTCAAAAAACAAAAATGCCAAAGATTGGGCTTTGATATAAATCAAAATTTCAAAGAATGTGTGACATACAGAACACATTTTCTTACCACAATGCAACTGTATCAGATGACAGTGAAAAAAGGCATGGCTAAATTTCCATAGATTTGGAAATTTACAAACATTTCTAAGTAATTCCTAGGTCAAAAAAAAACTTACGATGAAAATTAAAAATAACCAGAATTGAATCATAATGAAAATGTTATATATGTTGTAGAATACCAGAAAAGTAATTATTAGAAGGAAATGGGCAGGTGTAAATACTCTAAAGAAAGACTAAAAAGGAAACAAGCTAAGCAGCCAGTTTCAAAAGTTTGAAATAGAATAAACCCACACACGAAAAGGGTAAAAAAAAGAAAGAGAAATAAAGTAGAAAAAATATGAGAACAAAAATGAATGAAACAGAAAACAAATATACAATAAGAAGGATCAATGAACCTTCAAAATTTCTCTTTAAAAACAACCTATAATATGACAAACTTCTTACAAAATGGGTTAAGAAAAAGAGAAGACAAAAATATGTAGTATCAAGAATAAAGAGTGTGTCTGGGGAAATAGCTCAGTGGAGCTCTCGTCTAGTATGTGCAAGGATCTGGGTTCAATGACTAGCATCAAAAAAAAAAAAACAGAAAGAAATAAAAACAGCACACTACAGGAACACAGCCACATCAATGTTTATAGCAGCACAATTCACAGTAGCTAAATTGTGGATCCAACCTAAATACCCTCCAGTAGATGAATGGATAAAGAAAATGTGGTACATATACAGAATGGAATATTCTGTTATTGTTATTGAATATTCTTAATATTCAATATTAAAAGGAAATAAAATCATGACATTTGCGGTAAGTGAATAAAGTTAGAGAATACAATGCTAAGTGAAATAAGCCAATCCCCCCCAAAACCAAATGACAAATGTCTTCTCTGATCTAAGAATGCTGATTCATAATGGGGATGGGGGTGAAGCATAGGAGGAATAGACAAACTTTAGACAGGGCAAAGGAGAGGGAGGAGAAGTGAGGGGCATGGGAGTAGGAAAGATGGTGGAATGAGATGGACATCATTACTCTAAGTGCCTATACGAAGACATGAATGGTGTGACTCTACTTTGTGTTCAACCAGAGACTTGAAAAATTGTGCTCTATTTGTGTGCTATAAATTGAATTGCATTCTGCTGTCATATAGAACTCAGTAGAATAAATAAAATTTAAAACTTTAAGAAAAAAACAGAAAGAAAGGAAGGAAGGAAGGAAAAGGGGAACCTGAGTAGGGAAAAGGTTAATAATGCAATAATAACTGCATTAAAAACCTTGGGCCATACTATCATTTATAACTAAAATGAACAAATAAAAAAAAAAACTTGGGCCAATAAATTAGAAAACTTTGAGGAAGTTCACACAATCTCAGGAAAATAGAGCTTCCTGAAACAGACTTAAGAAAAACAGAAAGCTGGAAGAGTCCTAACACCTTTCAAAATCTGAATCAAAGAGTTAAAAATCTTGTCACAAAGAACACACCAGACCAAGCCACTTTACAACATTTTATGAAAATATTAGAATTTTTAAGAAGAAAATTCTAAAATTAACAAACTAGTTTGCATCACAGGAAAATAAAAATAAAAATAATTATTTCCTGACTTATACTATGAGGCTAGCCTAAACTTGTTACCAAAATCAGACCAAAAAAAGAAAAAAAAAAGAAAAAAGAGAAGTACAGCTCAACCTCACTTAGGAACTAGAAGACAGAAAATCTAAAAAACTTAGCAAGTCAAATTCAATGTGGTGTGTGTGTGTGTGTGTGTGTGTATGTGTGTACATATATATTCTTTAGAAAAATGTAGAAAATATTTATAATACTTACTTTCTTGAGACTATACATAGAATATATATTATATATGTTCTTTACATGTATATATAAAGAATAAATTTTCATAGTAATATCAGTTACCACCTTAATTAAAATAGAAAAACATTATCTCAAAAGATAATAAAAGCATCTGATAAATTCATCACCCATTTAGAACATGAACTCCTAATAAATTAGGAAGGGTTCAAAACTTCTCAAATCTGATATAAAGGCTTTTTATCAAAAATATTGACAGCAAAGATCATTATTATGTTGAACTACATAGATACAATCTCTTTAAAATTAAGAAAAAGCAAGGTGTTTTATCTCATTATTTCTATTCAATATTGTCTAGAGTCCTAGCTAGTGTATATTTTTTCTTTAAAAAAAAAAGGAAAATATTTACCATACATATATCAGATAGAGCACTAATCTCTAGGATGTATAAAAAACTCAAAACCCAATACCAAAAACAAATAATCCAATCAAAAAATGAGCTAAGAAAGTGAATATACACTTCACAGAAGAAGAAATATAACTGATCAACAAACATATGAAAAAATGTTCATCATCTCTACAATTAGAGAAATGCAAATCAAAACTACTCTAAAATTTCATCTCACTACAGTCAGAATGGCAATTGTCAATAATACAAGCAATAATAATCCTTGTTGGTAAGGATGTTGGGGAAAAGGTACACTTGTACATCCCTGGTAGGACTGCAAATTTGTGCAACCACTCTGAAAAGCAGTATGGAGATTCCTCAGAAAATCTGGAATGGAACCACCATTTGAGCCAGCTATCCCACTCCTCAGTGTATATTCAAAGGATTTAAAATCAGTATACTACACACATCACATCAATGTTTACAGCAGTTCAATTCACAATAGCTAACCTATGGAACCAACCTAGATGCCCTTTAACAGATGAATGGATAAAGAAAATGTGATACATATACACAATGGAATATTACTCAGCCTCAAAGAAGAATAAAATTATGGCATTTGCAGGTCAATGGAAGGAACTAAAGACTATCATCCTAGTGAAAAAGGCCAATCCCCCAAAACCAAAGGCCAAATGTTTTCTCTGATAAGTGGATGCTGATCTATAATGGTGATGGGGGGGGGTAGGAAAGAATGAAGGAACTTTGGACTGTGCAGAGGGAGTAAGGTAAAGGGTCGGGCTGTGGGGACGGAAAGGATGGTAGAATAAG